CACGCCTGATCCACTAGGCATTGAGAATGCCCAATGCATGATACCATACACTTGTTATTAATACATTTCTCTCCATCCGAGCAATCAGCGACTGAACGACATACAGCTGAAACAGCAGAGATCATCCGTTTCATAATTTGAAGTTTTTCAATGTAATAAAATATTCAAAATTCGATGCTACCATACATTAATTGTGATAATCCTGATAGAAAATGTCTAAGAATGTCTTATATTTTAGATTAATGAAAAATTCTATTTTAAAAATATGTCAATTTTTTCTCAGATACTTTTAGAAATAATTGAATAAGGATTTTCGAAATACTTCAATATTATACAAATGTATATGTATGAAGATTTCTGATAAATTGCGCGGAGTTTTTCATATTTATTTAGATTTCTACAAAGATGTGTTGATGGGAAAAATCTGAAATATTTCACTATTTTGAGTTTTTCTGAAAAATGTTCCAAATCCTATTTAAAAAAATCTGAGAACAAACTTTAAATTCAGAGAAAGTCTTAAAAATTTCATAGAAATTCTGATTGATAATGTAAAAAATGCTGAGACATTTTTCCATCGGGGGAAAAACATCAGATATGTTACCTCTGCATTGTCCATCGAGACAGACGCTGCCCAAGCAGTCGGCGTCCACCGCGCAGTAATTAGTACCGCGTACACAGCCGTGTTCCGGACCTCTCGAAGACGGCACGAATTTCTGGATGCACCTGCAGCTCGGTTGACCGTTGACGATTTCACAGAGCGCATTGGGACCACAGGCGTTCTCGCACGGATTGACGCAGCGGTGCTCGTGGCAAACGGAATGCACCGGACAATCCTTGGGACCGGAGCAATGTCCCTCCGGCTGGCAGCCGTTCACGTAAGGATCACCCACGTGATTCGGCGGGCACTTGCATACTGGATTATTCGTTGGACCGACGACGCAGAGCGCCGTAGGATGGCAGGAGTCCGGATGGCATGCCTCCACGGCGACGCACTCGACGTCGGGCACCGGGTTCGGGCGTAGCCCAGGCGGGCACTGACAGATCGCCTTGTGATCGTCCGCGATGCAAACCGCGTTCACGCCGCACGCGTTCTCGTCGCAGGCGTCGTAGCAGGTGTGCGTGAGTCGGTTGCAGAGCTGGGCCGGCGGGCAATCGATGTTGTAGACGCAGGGCACCGCACGGCATCCGGACGTCGCGTCGTTCGGATCGCCGGCGTATTGCCCGGGCGGACACTCGCAATTCGCCACATGATTATTGACGACGCAGAGCGCGTTGGGACCGCATGTGACGAAGTCGCAGACCAATTGACAAGCGAGTGGACCATCCGGAGTACCGCGACACGTCTGATCCTCCGCGCACTCGCTGTCGGTGGAGCAACGGTTCTCCCGCGGACTGTGGCAGCCTCGACGATCATTCGGATTGCCGGTGTAACCCGGTAGACACTCGCAACTCCCGTGATGGTTCTCCGTCACGCAGCGGGAATTCGCGGTGCAGGTGAAACCGTCGCAAAGCGACATGCACTTCAACACGCCGAGCGCGTCCGGTCTGCAGCCCTCGCTCGAGTGGCAGTCGTCGTCGCTTATGCAGTCGGGCACTGATGGTTTCTCGCAGGACGATAATACCGGATTCCACTCGTAGCCGTCCTGACATTTGCAAGTGGCGTGACCGGGTACGACGTCGGGCTCGCACTTCTGATAGGCGCCACACACCACCTTGCTGCAGGGATTCACGCAGTCGCGCACCCCGCCGTCCAGGATGATGCAGAAGGAACCCGGCGGACAATCCGAGTCGTGTGCACATCCGGGTATCACGGACTTGGACGGCTGGCAACCCTCGACCAGATTGCTCGGATTGCCCTGGTAACCGTCAATGCACAAACATGAGGATACGTGATTCTGCGTGACGCACAGCGCGTTAGGTCCGCATTGCAGTTTGCTGCACGCGTCCACGCACTTGCGGACGCCTTTGCCGATCTGGAAACAAATCTCCTGCGGCTCGCATTCGAGGTCGTTCGAGCAATGATGGTGCAAGTGGCAACCTTTGTGCAGGTCGTTGGGATTGCCGCTGTAACCGGGCGGACATATACACACTCCATTCTGACAGACGGATCTAGGGCCACATTTTATGTCGCTGCATTGATTTATGCACTTGTGATTGACGCAGGTGTAATCGAAGGGACATGGTACAGTGTTGCTGCAAACGCAGGTCGAAGGATCGGCGCATGGTCCCACTTGTACTTGCTGACATCCGACAAACGGATTGCCGAAGAAGCCGTCCTTGCATCGACAGTCGTAGCTCCCGAGGGTATTGATGCACACCGCGTTGCTGCCGCATGCATTTCCGTTGCACTCATTGATGTCTAATAAAGAAATAGAAACATATATTCGCATGCAATATAATTTTATATTGATCACAATTTATACTTGCCGCAAACAATGTTAATATGTTATACAAAAAATCGATTATGTTTTTTATATATTTTTTAATCTGATATATTTAAATATATCACGTTCTATATTTTAGTTACAGAAAACTGCTAACTTTATTCGTAGGAATTTAAGCAAAAATAATTGTTAAATATTTTCTAACACTAGTCGTAATTTTATGCGGCTGTTTCGTTTTGAGAAATTGCGTCTATTTTTCGACATTTCACCGTCGCTAGGTGCTCTCCTTCGTCTCGAGTGATCACGAGTCTCGAGCGTCGTGAATAGAAAAACGCACGTGACAAAGAGCCGATCGATAACAGCTGATGACGACAACAATAACAGCTGATCGACCGCTGACGCGTTTGTCATCAGCTGATCGCCCGAGAGTCCGAGACAAGGGTCCCTATTCTCGAAAAATATCGCATACATTGTCATGTCGCGAACATTATTAAAGCAAAAGAATTTGATGCGAATTAAATGAGAGCATGAAAGAGCTGAAATTAATAGAAACTAACCGAAACATTGAATGTATGGATTGCCAGCGAAGCCAGATGGACAGAGACACTCGACGGCGTTCGGACCCGCGTTGCAATGCGCATCTTTTCCGCACACCGCAGTAGAACAATCGGACTTTTCTTGAACGCCGCAGCCATGATAAGGATTCCCGCTGGTACCCGGATTACAGACACATTTCGATTCTTGAAGACCGTACTCGCAGTGCGCATTTCTCCCGCAGAATGGATCGCAATGTGGTGGTTGAACGGCTACGGAGAAAAATTTATTTAATACAGGAAAATGTATTACTTATAAACTATTAAATATTGTTTTTTTTTCATGCAGAGAAACATTTACGAAATAGAATAAATCACTAACTCTTCCTTTTTTTACACATTATATGTACATATATATCGCGTTATATTTATAATACTTACGTGGCATACAGAGCAGATCAGGATTGCCGACAAAGTAAGGGTTGCATACGCATTTATTCGTTAAAGGATCGCACATGGCTCCAATGCCGCAAATCACTCCTTCGCAACGCCGTTTGCAACGTCCGCTGATGCATACGCTGGGGTCGGCGCATGGAATTTCAGGAGAGCAAACATCCGGAACGCACTGTCCACCGGGGAAGGGATTGCCCATGAAACCTTCGATGCACTTACAAGTCGGCCCGTCGTAGCTAACGATACATTGAGCTCCGGTGCCGCAAACAAAACCATCGCATTCTGAAATCAAAACAAAGTTTTATTTCGCATATACATTTAAAAAAATCGTAGCAAGGATTTGTACGATAAACTGATAACGTACCGAATAAAAGTATTATATAAAAACTATAATTGTGCTTGTATTATAAATAACTATCAATTTTCTTTCAAATTTGAATAGATCATTTATTCTGTATAATACGCAATAATTTTTCTTTTAAAATTTTAGAATTTTAGAAATAAAAATTTCTTTTATATCATTTTATATAGTCTAATTAAAAAATAATGTTCAATATAAAATTATCTAGACTTATAATTAGATTATTTATAAAATTTGCACTCACGTGAGACACATTCGTTATTCTTGCCTTCCGTGAATCCGATCACGCATCTGCACCATGCCGCATGTTTATCGGGCTCGCAGTATGCGTTAGGACCGCAGGGTACGTTGTCGCAGGGGTTGACGCAACTTCCTTGGACGCATGCTAAGTAATTCTCGCAATCGTCGTTTGACGAGCACTCACTCTTGCCGGTCGCGACCCCAGTACAGCCAATACCGTAAGGATCACCAATCATACCTTTGGGACACTCGCACGTGTGATCTCCCTTCGTGTTAATGCAATATGCGCCGTGTCCGCAAGGATTATTCGCACATTCGTTCACGTCGATACACCCATGCTGTGGATCACCCTCGAAGCCAGCCTCGCACATGCATCGCGGCGGATCGCTCGGTGTGCACTTCGCATTGATACCGCACGGGAAACGATCACAAGGATCTGCAATTATAGAATTTAATGATAATTAAGTGAAGAAAACATCATGCTTGCCATGGGACTGTATAATACGAGCTGCGACAGTAGGGGGTACGAGTAAATTTAAAATTCGTAGACTTACTCTTGCAAAGATTTCCTTCTAAAGGATCCGTGTAGAACGGCGGTGGGCATACACACTCTCCGGGCTGTACGCACTTCTCGTTGGCCTTACATTCGTTGTCGTTGGTACATCTCTTCTGCGCCGGGGAGCAGAGCCCGTTGTACGGATCGCCGCCGTATCCGTGCGGGCACACGCACTGATGAGAACCTGGTAGGTTGATGCACTCGGCACCGTAACCGCAGACTTGGTGACCCACAATGCACTCATTTATATCTGCATACGAATTAATAATTGTCAATTAATCAGTTATGTCTGGTTTTCTTTGTAATTATCGTCAAATAAATTTGCAACAAAAATAAAATTTCTCTTGAAATAATATTTGTCATACCTTCGCAGGAGCCATCAGACTTGGTCGTGTATCCTTTAGGACAGGCGCAATAACTGACACCACCGGCAATCGTTATGCACTCGGCACCACTAGGGCACTTTTCGCCCTTCGAGCATCCGGCCAGCATGCATTTACCATTGACAATCTTGTATGGCGGTTGACATTGACATTCTATGCTGTTGCATTCTGTAATTTTTCCAGTAAAAATGTTTAATGACTGACGCATGTTTTTAATGATAATTATAATTAAAATATTAAAAACTATAAATCAAGAGTCTTACCTTCGCAAAGCGAGAAGGGGTTTCCATTAAAGCCTGACGGACACTGGCACTCGTAGCTGCCAGGGAGATTCTTACAAATTGCGTTGACACCGCAGGCGGGCTTTTCTCTGAGCTCCATGCACTCGTTAATGTCCCTGCATTTACCGGTTTCATAGTCGCGCGTGTAACCGCGTTGACAGATGCACACGCTGCTGCCTACGAATTCATCCTTGATGCACTGTTCCCCAGCGGGGCAGGGCGCACTAGGACCGCACACGTGAGGTGTTTTAGATTCCTGGCAACCGCCGCTGTAAGGATCGCCCCTCATGCCGTTCGGACACTGACACGAGAAGGAACCAGGCTCGTTGTTGCAGATTGCGCCCGGAGGGCACGGGTTTATCGCGCACTCGTCGATGTCTCGGCAACCGTCCTTTACACCAGGCTTTCCGCTGTAGCCGTTGCTACACAGGCACGTCGCCACGTCGTTCAAGAGCATGCAGCGCGCATTCGGTCCGCAAGACAGGTCTTCACACGGATCTGATCAAACAAATTGTCCATTGAAGATATTTTGTTCACAAAGATAAATCTTTAATATTTGACATAAAATCTTCTAATCTCATTTATTCTAAAGCAGAATATATCATATCACATACGTCTGCAATCATTTCCGACATTGGGCTCGGGACACAAGCATCTCTTTTGTGGATCACAAATAGCGTTTCCTGGGCAATCGTCGTCAACTTCGCATCTGACTATGCCAACACACTTAATGTAAGGATCGGGATCCGGTATGGTTTCTTCCGGACAAGTGCAAGCGTAAGAGCCTTCAGTATTGGTACATGTTGCTCCATGCCCGCAAACGTCGGATTTGATACATTCGTCAATATCTGCATTTATTTTAAAAAATATAAGTAAATACGAAAGTAATGTAAGTACAAAAACAAATTAAGTACAAGAAAGTAAAAAAAGTATTACTGAATTAATAATTTATATAAATAAATATATATTCGTAAATATATATATTAATAATTTATGTCAATAATACGAACAAATAATAAATTTTTACGAAATGTCATTAATTAATCATTCTTCTGCGTAAATTTTACCTATACATTGCTTGAAGGCATTTCCTGAGTATCCGAGTTTACATTGGCAACTAAAACCACCAGGTGTATTCGTACAAATGGCATTTCTGCCACATCTTCCAGAAGGTCCATTTATCGCATCGCATTCGTTTATATCTAAGGAAAGAAAATCGCATTAAAAAATTAACTCGCATAAGTGAAAACTTTCTATACTCATTAAAGAATAATTATCGAATATTTCGTTAAATTCGTTAAAAAAATATCTGTTTGCTTACCGACACATCCAGCCGCTATATCGTTCGGATTGAAGGTCCAGCCATCTTCGCAAATGCAATAAGCTTCGTGACCATCGGCCTTGCAGAAGGCATGTTCGCCGCAAGTTACTTCATCGCATGGTGCTGCAAAATAATAAAAATGATGACAAACTATAACTTTTTATTCCATAAGAATTATTCTTTTCTCTCTATGTTGGAAATTAAGCAGAAATAATTGTTAAATATTTTCTAGCGCTCTAATAGTTATAAACGGCTGTTTTCGAGGAATCGCGTCTATTTTCGGTCGCTTTTTCTGACTTTCCACCGCTCAGCCGTTGACAAGTGCTCTCCTTTATCTCGAGTATCGCTAGTAGAAAAACGCACGAGACAAAGGAAGAGCCAGTCGACAATATCAGCTGATCAACCGCTGACGCGTTTGTCATCAGCAGAACGTGAGACAAGGCCTTCGGGGCGCCCGGAAGGAATGCTGATGTGATTCTCAGGCGTTCCCAGCTCGCGCCGGAGATGGACATCCGGAGGGGTTTAGTAAGAATCCGACATATCTCCCGGCCCTTCCCCGAGAACCGAGAAAACCCATGCAATATTTCTCCTCCATTATAAAAAAAGGCCCTTCAAATCAATACAGCTGAGTTTCTGTTCGCCCGTTAGCTGATCGTCTCATTGCATTGGCTTGATTACTTATTGTTACAGGGGGCATAAAATCTGAAATTTTTTGGAAAACCGAGGAAATAAAACCCCGAGCCTTCGCGCCTCCATTTTTGCAATGTGCGACTCGATTATAGATCCTCGCTTAACTCGATCGGAGATCAGCAAATACATTTTCGCGCTCGAACCGTGTTTCCGGAACTCGCAATGAATATAACCATGCTGGGTCGAAATCTGTAAATACTGTACATATTTTATTTTTTACTTTAAATTAAAAACCTATACAGTTACTTGAGACTGTGTTGATTTTCTTTCTTATTTTCTACGGAACCTTGCGACGCCCTCGTTCTCGTGCTCGCTGTCATGTCGCAAACACTTTACAATCTTTCTCCCCTATCTCTACAACTCCAACAATTTTCTTATATCTTTTTTCCGCGATATATATGTATATGTAATACATATGATATCATCGAAATATATAATTATACTATATAAGATTACCTTTACACGGTATATGGGGTGGAGTGCCAACAAATCCAGACTCGCACTCGCAATGATAGCTTCCTCTAGTGTTCGTGCAGATCGACGCTGGCCCACAAGGATTAGTAAGGCATTCGTCCAGATCCGCGCATTCAGCACCGACGGCCTTGAAGCCATCCTTGCAGAAGCACTGTCCCTCGATGCACTCAGCATTGTTGACGCAATCGAAATTCGATTTGCAGAGAGTCGTCACGTCCGTCTAAAAACGATGCGATGGGATGACACTTTATCACTTCGCATCCGTAATTCTTCTCGCGTTCGGAGACATTGTACTTGGAAACGAAAACCGGTCTCGTCCGTCTGTATTATAAATACGGTTATCTTTTGGACGCGCGAATAAAAAGCGTGCTTCCATAATAAATGGAGCTGTGAGTCAGTTTTGTGGCTTTACAAACGACGAAAATAGTTTAGAAAAGTGGTAAACTATGTAAAACCGGTTCGCGTTTATCTTGTTTTGTGCGCGATGCCACATTCGTTTCGTTTACTTTCTTTTATTCGTCGCCTTCGTAGAAAAAAACTCTGCGGACCGATCAAAGGAGCGAGTCTCCTTTTGAAATATTTGTCTCGGGGCATCTCTCGCGTGAAAGATCTTGTCCACATACGTATGTATGAGGTGACTCGAGACGGAGCGCAACGGGGTTATTGAATTATTACCTGATCGCATGCGACTGCCGGGCCGGAGCTAGCACTGTACCCCGGCGGACAGAGGCAGTTGTAACCAGGCTCCTCGTTCTTGCAGATCGCATTTTTACCGCAAGGATTCTCCAAAGCAGTGCACTCGTTGATGTCTAAGAAAGAAAAAACAATGCCGCTATAATAGAAAAGTCCTACGAGGACAAAAATTCAAAAAAGCCAGAACCTTTTGAGTATCACAGGCTAAGAGAAATTGACACTCTACTAAGAAAATACAGATGTAACTTTTGTGCAAAAAATATCCAATTTCTAATCCAATCATAAACGAACGTTTAGACAGGAAATTACGGCAAATATATAAATATATATAAGTCATATTAGTATGGGATAGTGCATCCCGATGTCCTGCGCTTTCAAAACCGCGACTCATTGAGATCACGCTGATTAAGAGATCCCCGCGAACGGAATACGTCGCAGGAGAAAAGATAAGCTAACCGCTGCACTCCTTGAAAGGGTCGCCGGTGTAATCCGCCTTGCAGCTGCAGACGAAGCTGCCGATCGTGTCGATGCACTCGGCGTTCTCACCGCAGGGATTGCGCTCGCATTCGTTCACGTCTGTTAATCAATATTGTTAATCACAGGATGAGTATTATGGCATGCGGTGTGACAGATAGCGTTACGTGAAAGCTTTTGGCTATGACTGACTTTCGCAGCGGGTTAGTCCCTGACCGACGAAACCCGGGGGACAGATGCATTTATATGAGCCCGGGACGTTGATGCATCTCGCATTGGCCGCGCAAGCATCTCCGCCGACGCACTCGTTCACATCGATGCAACCGTGCGCGGAGTCCATCCGGTAGCCGGCGTGGCATCTACACTCGAAGCTACCCTCGGTGTTTACGCATTCCGACTCCGCACCGCAGGGCGAGCTCTCCTCGCACTCGTTCACATCTGCCGGTGACGGTCAGTTAGTGGACTCGGATGCGCGACACCACGGAAATTTGTGAGTTCAAGCGGATTATCAGTCACAAATGTGTCACACACAGATAGTATACTATCTATATACAATGATACTGTCAATATTGGAATCTGGATTTTACGTTTTCACCGATGGATTTTAATTGAAATAAACTCTTTATTAAGATTCTGTTAAGATGCCATTGTTATGTCAGTGATAATGAACAATGTTACGTTATTAAGAAGCATGACAATTAATAACACATATATGTATAACATTTGCTGTTTTCTTACGCCCGCGCCATAAGAAATTTTAAAGCCTTACCTATCACATTGTAATAAGTTACAATCATAATTGGAAATTCTCGAGACTTACCGTGGCAACCTGTCATCGGATCACCGTCCATTCCATCGGGACAAGAACACCGGAAACTACCATATACATTCGTGCAGAGAGCGGAACGTCCGCAAGGACTCCTCAGGCATTCGTCGACATCTCTGCACTCCTCTTCGGGGCTTCCGTCGTATCCGTCAGGGCATTCGCACTTATGCGCGCCTGGTACATTCACGCATAACGCACCCCTTCCGCAAGCACCCTCATATTTGCATTCGTCAATATCGATACACTAGACAGATTTAAAAATTTCACAAATTTAACAAATAAATTTATAATTATGTATTCCTAATTGGACATTGTCTTAAATTTATTAACATTTGAATATTAATTTAATATTATATATATGTTATACACGTAAATTTATTAAAAACTTATATTTTTTAAATATAAATTTATAGAAACAAACTAAAATACACGTGAATATTTTAAGAGCTTTGCAATAAAGTTTAGATAAAATAAATATCTAAAATTCGAAATTGTCGTTTGTCATAATATTTATAACAAATTATTAATCTAAATGTTAATCAAAATTTGTTATTTCAGTTATTTCAAAATTAGCCCGCATCTTCCAGGAGCCCATTAAGGAACGTAAGGAACGATGATTATTAAGATTAATATCTCCATCATCATATAAATATCCGAAAAAAAAATTTCCACGATAAGGAAATTGACTTGCACACACACACAAGCGTGTTATTATCCAATTTAATCTCCGACTTGTCGTTTTCTCGACTACGCATCCCCGTTCTCGCCGATGTACTCACACTGTTGAACGGGTCTCCCGTGAATCCGTCTTGACACGTGCAGGTATAATTGCCGAGTGTGTTGTGACACACGGTATTGTCGCCGCACGCACCTGGTATCGCGCACTCGTTCACGTCCTCGCAGCGCACCTCACCGTTGCCGATATAGCCGGATTTGCACTTGCACAGGAAGTTTGAGGGTAGATTGCAACATTCGGCATTCTCGACGCAACGCCCGGCAATCGCTGGATCGTCGCATTCGTTGATATCTATCGATGCGATACCGTTAGCAACGAAATAGGCGCTTGACGCAAGACGAAAAATAATTACCCTCGCAATGAAAGCCATCGCCTCGGTATCCGGGAAAGCAGGAACATTGAAAGCTGCCAAGAGTATTTGTACAGTGGGCAAATATATCACAGGGCCGATATTTACACTCGTTCTCGTCTACAATTTTTAATTAAGTTTTATTGTAAATTATTATAAATTACGTTGTTTACGTGTATAAGTTCAAGAGAGTAGAAAAACATAGCGCAGCAGTATGTACTTGCATCAAATTGATCCAAACGGTTTTTGCGTAAAGTAGAAAATGTATGTATGTATTAAATGAATATTCCATAATATTACATGGTAAATAGTAATATACAACTACATAAATACAGTTTCACAAACCTGGAACTTGACAATTACATCCTCCAAACCCATCGTTACAGTGACAGACCGAATCCAGACAGACACCGTTTTGACATTTGGTGCCGTCTTCTTTTGTACAATCGTCTGCAACATTTAGCAAATTTTTAAATAAATTTATTATATTGTACCTCACTGAAAAATATATACATACCTATATCTCGAATCTCAATTTAATATTTTATATTATGAAGCGAATCTATGAACCTACGTATACTTTTTTAAACTCTGCCAAAATGTTTATAAATATAAACCAATTTATCAATATTTAGGTTGATAAACATAATATTATAAACATAATATTATAAATTATTTAACTATAATCGAGAATCGAAAATCTAAGTGACTCGTATCAAGATCGAGATCGAGTTTCGACGCAACTAATCAGCAAGCGGAAAAAACACAATATGGACTTTCTATGCTTTTTTTTAAAAAAAAGCTTTATTTTATTTACGCAGGAAAATTAGTTAAAGATTTTATCTGGATAATATAATAATAAATAATATAATATTTAAATTTTAATGGTTATATTGCAATCTTCAATGGTTATAATCTTGTTTCTCTCACCCATAAAGATGAAAACAATCATACATAAGACTTTAATTCAAATTTGAGAAATTCTCAAATAAAAAAATATTTTTCGAAAAAAAGTTAAGGATATTCGTTTTTACATATTTTTGGCTTTCTGTTTTTCTATTATAGATAAACTAATTACTCCTTTGACATTCAAAAAATATAAGTATTATTAAATATCTATATACTTTAAGAAATTCTTAATCCTGTATCAATCTTTTCAACTCAGTTTTTGATCACTTTCGAGAATATCCCAGCTCACTGTGCGGCGTCAGAGGATATACACTCATTTAGAAATATTCTGTACAAGAGGCACGAGCCATTTTTGTTGGCCATTAAGTAAGATTATCCGAGAAAAAGGGGCGGATAAATTGCGACCATACTTTACAGCCATCGGCTAATCGCGCAATTTTCTCTCGCCGGACCTAATCGCCGGTCGCCGGTCGCCGGTCGCCGGTCGCACCATCGCGCATCGAAGAGTTTTTATCACAAGCCGCAATAAAGCCGCGATACGTTCGGTAGATTCGAGTAACGTGATCCATCGGCTCTCATATCGGCGCCTCGGCGAACGTCAATTACGGTCTCTCACCGCGAGGAAATAACGTCCGTGGTCCGTGGAAAATGAGAATAAAATTCCGCGGCTAATTGCGTCTCGTGGGCGTGACTCCGGTACAATGTGAAATAATGACGCGAGAAAAGAGATCCCCCCTTAATTGACCCGACGGACGAGACGTGACGCTTAACGCGTTCCTGCGGTTTGTGTACGACGCGAGGAAGAAAATTACTTAGCGACCGTAATGACATCGAGAATGACGGCATGAACGTGAAGAAACGACGGAAATGTTAACGACGGTGCATCGTGAATGTCGTGCGACGTCACCCTTTCCTGTCGCCGCGAAGCGCACGATCGCTTCGCGACGGGATTGCCCTGACAATCTCTCTCTTTCTCTCTCTCTCTCTTTCTCTCTCTGGACGAATCACACACACACACTTTGACGGGATATGTGTCTTTCCTTCTCCACAGGTACATAGCTCACCTGTGCACTTTAACCTGTTGCGCTGCTCGTCCACGCCCTGGTAGCAGTCGGCGCGATGGTCACAGAGCTTCGAGAGCTCGAGCAGCTGAAGGATGTCCGTCGACTCGTTGACTTGGCAGCCAAAGTAGCCGTCCTCGAGGTTCAGGAAGAATACTTCTCGCCTCGATCCATGGCCGAGTCCTTTGCGAGATTCGACCTGAAAAGTCGCGGAATGAATTTTATTGATTGTCTTTATACCATTTATCAATCATCAATCATATTTGCGCTTTCTGACATATTTTAACAAGTTCCTACAGTGTTCCGATCCAGATTTAAATTAAGTTAAACTCTTTTGATAAGACATATCGTTATATTTAACTAATAATCTTCTAGGTCGAATAGAGAAAAAGAAAAAAAGAAATTAATTAGTCTCTTTGTCTGCGAAAGAATGAAAGTTTTTAGAGGAACGTCTGCTTACCGGATACGAAGCTAGAAGTATCCACGTCAGCAACGGCCAAAGATGTTTCATCTTTGCTGTAAAAAGATCAAATCACATCGAAATTAGTCATATTCCATAGATACCGCCCGCGTGAGTCGAACGCGCGGTTTTGATTTATTATTAACGCGATAATTTTTAGTGATGACTGGAGGACGTAACGCTTATCATCCTTCCGCGGAGGACGTGTGGTTGCGGAAGAAACTTAAATAGATTCCTAAACACGCGCGTGTATAGCACAGCGACGACGATGACTTCACGCGAGAATCACCCAGTGGTAATTGCATCATCGCGAATTCGCAAGGTGCATGGTTTCGTAAAAAAACCGGCACTACTTCGCAGGCACCCTGGGAACGATTTTTCACGATCGCGCGCCGCATCCGGAGCCGCGAAAGGAAGAGAGCGCGGGAAGGGATGGGAGCGGCACCTCGCGAACGTTCCCCCGCGATGTTCGCGGCGTATAAATCACGTGGAAAGCACCGTAGCCGTAGGAAATCGTTGGAAAATCAAGCGTGGATATACAAAACCGCAAGAAACCCATCGAACGTTTTTCAGCTCGCAACGGATAAACCTTATACACCGGTCGAACACCTGTTCTGTTCGACGAGCGAGCCTCCGCACCGCACCAACGCGTGGCTAATTCACGAATGTGCGACCGGGGAAGTCGGTTGATCCATCAACCCCAACATGTAGGCCACGCGATGCGTGGAAAAACGTCTACTTGGTCCTTCAAACGTATTCGTATTTTAAGTAAAAGAGGCGTTTCGATTTATGTAAGAGGCATAGGTAAAACTTGAGCAAATCATAGGATAACTGCTAATGACATCGCATCAATAGAGCGATGACAAATGTAAAATAAATCTCTTTATTAATGATAAGCTATTAGTGTCATTAACGGTCATTATCGGTCATTATTTACGATTTTTTTTCTCGATATCACGTATCATTAAGCCTGAGATCATTCTATTATATCATTCTATTGAGGCTTAGATCGACGTTGAGCTTCAAGCGCGTCTCGCCGATCCGCAGAATTCGTGACGCGTTCGGCTCGACGTGGTGGGAAAATACGCGTTTGACAGCGACCGGGCATCTCCGACGGAATTCGTTTCAGAGACGCGGAAATCTGAATCCTCGAGCGCTCGCGATGAAGCCGCGAGTAACCATTTCCTGTTTACCCGCCCTTCTCTCTCTCGCTCGATTCTCCCGTCAGACGTCCAACTGTAAACGTAATTTTCGCGAGATAGCATCCCCGTACGCAAAAGCGTTCTTCCATACGTTCTGGGCCCGCAGGCCGCAGGCCTCGTTCTCGTCGAGACGAAGGCGAACTATACGTGTGCAGCGAACACCAACAATATAAGTTAGAGCCGCGCGACGATCAACCTGGCGCGGTGAAATGTTAACGACTGCACACGCGGCCAAGCTCACAACTCACAAGGCAGACCGGAGGACGAGAGGGAAAAGGGAAGGAAGGACGTGCGTTCGCCAAGTCGGATGAAGAGGAGGAAGCCGAGGAAGAGAAGCGGAAAGTGGCGAGGGGGAGAACGACTACGGAGGATGGGTGGACGGGAGAGGAGAGAAGAAGCGAAGGAACGCGCGTAATAAAGGAGGGCGTGCGAGTACGATGCACCTGTAGTCCTCCTTGCCTCCCAACCACCTCGCAACGTCGCCAAGTTGCCCCTCCGCCGTACCCCCTAACACGGATCGAGATGTATACGTGTAAACCCGCAGCTGTGCACGCGGGCCGACCAACTCCGGGGCAATCTAGTCCCCTTATTTTAATTTTGCCACGGAAGCAGGCCACCCCACTGCGCGGGCATATTTTTAGATCCGGTTTTACTTCCGCAGTCCCATGGTCAAGGTCTTTGAAATCTAGGGCTTGCAATCGAATATGTTTTTAAAGCGAAACGTAAAGTTTGTCAAAATTTAAAAGACATTACTATATAACAATTGGAACGTCAGCTCATTAAATCCATATAAACGTGTGTAAATGAAATAAACTATGTTTATCATTTTCTTAATTCTTATGTAATGAAAAATGTATAATTGAAATGTAATGCCTAGATGTTTCAGCCTTTACACACATTTTCTGCCTTTAATGGTATCGCGAGGGTATTATGAAAGTAAAATGATTATATAACGGTTCACGGCTCATGCGCGCATATCAAAGACGTGTTTATTTTGTGGTCAGTCTCTAATAGATTAATTATTTACTATAATTGACATTTATCTGTTTTATAAAATCTTTATTATTTAATATGTCCGCATGTAATAATCTTGATAAGTACATTAACATCTACACAAATAAATTTTAGTAGCAACAAAAATTCTCTTGTGCACGATGAATCAATTGGTGAAATTGCTTGCTCATGGTAAGCTCATTGCACTTGCAATGATCGTTTCCGTAAAAACGAATGCTCCGTGCGAATTCATCTAGTGTGTAAGCTGTAGCATAGATAGACTATAGACTGATAGAAATGCGAAGTCGCATCGCGATCGTTCTTGAGCTCTGACATCGATTTTTCAGCCGCGAGCGATTGACACAGTTACATCGGTTTTTGTCGGTGCCTCCTTAGCATTTCTTGCCTGTCGCAATCTTACAATGATCTCTCGGTAGCTCTCGGCCATAATTAAGTCACGCGATTGTACACTTCAATTTTGCATTACCGTATGTATATCTGCGCATGCGACACAAGCAGTATGAATTACAAATGTGTTTATATGAAGCACGCGAAACACCTACGCGCGATATTGTGATATGAATGGTAGCGATCATAACGGACTTTGTCATCGGCTAAAACAAGACAAATTAACACGCGCAACTTCTAGCTTGAAAAAAAAAACTGCTTTTTGATGTCAAAATACATTAATTATATCCTACATCTACATTAGTGTTTTATTTCGATGACGTCATTCGCTGCATTAAATAATCACGAATCAACTTAATGGCCAGCACCGCCCGAAATAGATATTCCAGGTCAATAACGACTCCGGTTCACGAGTCATCGGCTTCATGGATTTCTTCTTTATTATACTGCCTCGCCCACGAGGCTTTCAGTTTATGGAAGCTTGCAGGTCAGGAACAACGTGTTTGTGCGGCGCCGTGAAAGTGTCTATATACATGATTAGAGAACATCCTGGGCCTAGAAATTATTCTTTCGCGTGTGCTCGGGGCCAGGGGTACGTCCCACGCAAGCGAGAACGAGAGAGACCTCAAAGCTACAACTGACGTATCTAAAATATGATAACCTAATCTAACTTGTTTTGCACTCTGCACGCAACTTTGCTTGAGAACCAATCTGTGTGTGTGTTGTTTATTGTTCACATAAATTATTAACCCAATATAGACAGACAGCATCAAAATTCATATACTTTCTCTTGATTGTGACTGCGGTCCCCAAACAGCGAAACCATATTAAGAGATAAGGAAGAGTGTCGCTTATTTGTATGTCAAAGATGTGCTCACAACTCCTATACTATAAACGGCGAACATTGCAAACGACTGACTATCTAGAGATTGAGAGATATTGCTCGTTACAAGATAAATAAATATACAATATATCTTATTATATTGCCTATCTTTTAGACATAAGATTGCCGTAAAACCGCATTTTATAGAGATTAGTTCTTTTTACATAGCAAGAAATACGGAGAGACAGTGTTTCATTTTTATCTCATTAGATTAGTCTTAATTTGCATTATGTCTCGAACTAATCGCGACGCCGATCCTTCAGCGACAGACATTTACGGCTTCGTAATGTCGCCTGCGAACAAATTTGCATGTTTAGCACCCACCGTCGACGATTTAATTGCATAACCGTCGCGCGCGCTAAGTCTTCCTACGTGCGGCGCTGATTTCACGCACAAGCCTCTTTACGCGCTTGCGTAATTCCTCGGTGAAATAATGCAAACGATCAGCACAGTTCCTTTTGTTCGAGTGCGCGTTCTCTTTGTTACGCCGGTGCCATGGGGTTAATTCTCATTTTCTAAAAGTATCAAGGCTGAATCTACATTATGTAATGTACGCCTCAAAATAAAAATACCGGAAATATACCATTAAATTTCGATACTTATCGCAACAAAATAATTGATTTAATGAATATGAATGATTTAATTACGAGACACGACTGACAATGGAAGGTGATGGAATCTTAGGAAAGGTACAGCAGCAGCCCCGCAGCGTTCTAATTACCTGGAGTCGTCTTCCTTTCGTTTCGCAAATCCGCACGATGTGTGTCAAGATGCATCGCGCGTACGCATATATGAATATTTATTTATATACGTATGTTAATTATAGAGAGACAAAAAACATGCGAGGAGGCTTTCTCTTCGTTACACTTGCCAGAATCTGTTTACGTTTGTACGCGATACAAAAGTTGAAAAGTGTATAACTTGTAGCGAGCACTATTTTCCGGTAAGTAAACTGCCCGCATGTATGACAATAGATCGGTAGCCAGATATCGCAACAGATCAGGGTATCATCTCGTGGGGCATTAAACTCGTATTTTGCCGGCAAAATCTGCCGATATAATCTGACAGCAAATTGTCGGCAGAAACCGAACGGAATTCGTCATTCATAAATATTTAAGCGGAACACATCATTTATGTAAATGGTTACAAAACAGCAGATTTTGTTCAGTTTCTGCCGTTATATTCTGTTAACAGATCTGTTATATTTCTGCTAATATTCTGTTGACAAAATTTGCAACAAACACTTTCAAAATCTGTCCTCGATCGATTTGGGATAAATATAAAATATTTTTTAAAATTTGCACAATGCTCCGCGATATACACACTTTTGTATTGCGCACAAACGCAAATAGATTCCGACAAGAATAACGTATATTTGTGTATATATTTATATAATCCGTTGTTTTGAGAGTACGGTCGACTGCGTCTAGGAAATCAGCATGAAGATCGCCGGATCTGAATCCATAATTTCAAGTAACGGTTTCCGGGGGGGGAAGGAAAGTAGCGGGAAGGAAGAAATCCTGCCCGAAAGAAGCGAAACAACTTACTTAAGTACGCGACGCACAGAATT